TGAGGGTCCCGGCGACTCTCTTCATCCCTGGCATTCACTGCATGAGATGATGTCATCACCACCTTCAAAATGCCACTCTGCCATCCTGCTCCTGTCTTCTGCTTCTAGCCTGAAACGGATTTTATAGCATCCTCCATGATTTTAACTCATGGGTTTCCATAGTAATTCATTTAAATCTAAAATGTTAGAGGAATAACCCAAGTTCTCCAAAACAACTATTTTATACCATTTCTTCTCTTAAATCTCTTTGATCTTCCCCTTTCCTCAGGCAGGAAAGTTTTCTTCTTACTGTCACACTCCTGTCCTTTATGAATGAACAGTCCCTGCTCTTGTATCGGTCCTGGACCCATTTGCCCTCCTATCCATCTTTCTTTTCTGTTCTTGCTCTGTATTGGGCTCATCCCATGGTCTACCTTTCTCAGGCTCCCAGGTCTGTGGCTGAGTTTGGCCAATGGAAGGCACAGGAGGGAGGCGGGGGGGAGCATGGGAGGCAGGGAGAGACCAGGATGTTTCTTGTCAAGTCCTGCCTTGGGTGGCATCTCTGGCAGGGCCGTCTCTCATCCATGGCTTCAGCTCCCTCCAGATGCTGGGCTCAGGTAACACCACCTTCTTCCATTGCCCCTCTAGCCCAGAGAGAGAGGTATTTCCTTACTGTCACTCATCTCTGGGGTCCTCGCTCTCCTCTAGTTGGCTTTAATTCTCTAGACATCAGTTCTGCAATTACTCCTCTGAGCCCAGTATCTTCTTCCCATTGGTGTGCAGACATTCTCTACCATCTTGTACCGTTGGGTAAAATCTCTTCTTTGACTCTGCATCCTTTCCAGCCCTTGCCCTGTTCTCTGCTCCTCTTCACAGGAACACTTACTGAAAGGGATGCTTCCTGTCTTCCCCACCCCTCTATCCCTTCTGTTTGAACTTCCGTTTCCACCTTCCACTCAGAGTCCTTGTTAAGGTCACAGTCACTCCTGCTTAACACATCCACTGTTTACTTCTCTGCTTCTCTCCTTACTCAACTTCTTAATTACCTTCAAAAACAGTTGCCCCCCCTACCCCCCCGCTTTGAAATGCTTTCTTCTCTGGTCTTCCATAGTCCCACCTTATCTTGAGTTTTCTTCTACTTCCCTGATTGTTCTTTCTCCTCCGTTCAATATTTAATATGTTGGTGAGGCCCTGGTTCTGTCTAGGGCCTATTCTCTATCTGCATGCTTTTTTTAGGTGACCTCATCCTTTTTATGGCTTCTATTGTGTGTGCGTGCATATGGAACTACCAATCTGTGTTTCCAGCTCTGATCCCTTTTCCCTGACCTCACAGTCTAAACTAACCCCCTGGTCACCCTCTATTACATTAGTCTATTTTACTTCTCTGCATGGCATTTAGCACCGCCTCATGTTTTTCTGATTTATTCACTTTTCATTGTCTGTCTTCCCCAACAAGTTATAAATTTCTTGAGCAGGGACCTCATCTGGCAGATCCCATTCTATCCCACGCACTTAGAACAGGGATCAGATGTTAAATATTTACTGAATGCACACATGAATGAAGCTCTAATCTGTTATATGGTCTGTGGTTCATTATTTTCATGGAAAAAAATGACCCATAGACTATGAAACTAAATTTTTGTCCATTCAGCACCACTGCTCTGGTCTTTGGTGCTGAATGGACTTCTAACCACCAAACTGAACCCAGCTGAATGAATGCACTTACTTTCTGAGAGGAAATTGAATTAGTTAATTGTGGTAAACATAATGCTTAACTTGTTACAAAGAATTTCTTAAGAATGAGTTTTGTTGAAGCACTGAATTATCAGAAGTTTTGCAGAAATTTTAAATTAGAAAAAAATGTCATCTATCTAGGCTAACTTACACTTGTTTGTCCTTTCTTTAATGGAAGAAAATGGGAAAGGCGGGCGCCTGGGTGGCTCAGTTGGTTAAGCGACTGCCTTCGGCTCAGGTCATGATCCTGGAGTCCCGGGATCGGGATCGAGTCCCGCATCGGGCTCCCTGCTCGGCGGGGAGTCTGCTTCTCCCTCTGACCCTCCTCCCTCTCATGCTTTCTGTCTCTCATTCACTCTGTCTCAAATAAATAAATAAAATCTTAAAAAAAAAAAAAAGAAAATGGGAAAGGCATCTTAAAAAAAAAATTACCCCTTAAGTAAATTTACCAAGTATAGGATTACTATGCTAGTGATAAGAAAAGTAGCACTATTTATTGTGAATCTGCAATGCATAGATGTTGACTGATAAATGCAATGAGTGAAGTACAACAAGTATAGGGAAACATGTAGAAAGGTCTGATTTGTTTTTTGTTTTAAAGCATTGAATAACTGGGAAACTTCTAACTTTTAATTTGAGCAACGGGTAGCTGCATTAATTTTCTATCTTAAAAAATTTATTATGATTATTTTCCTTATGTCTCAAACTTTACTGGTTTTTTTTTTTTTCCTTTCATTTTTCTGTCTTACTTCAGAATGACAAGATCCCAGAACTTGAATGATGTCTTCCCTCTTTCGGAGGACTATTTTGGATCTGACTCGGGATCAGGATCTGGAAGTGGCTCTGGAAGTGGCTTCTTAACTGAAATTGAACAGGAATACCAACCAGTAGATGAAAGCAGTGCGTTTTATTACAAATTTAGGCCTCTCAAGATAAATCTGCCATCAGACAACCAGGACTTGGTCCAAGATGGACCGGAAGGGGATTTTATTATGTGAAAGAGAGGGTTTCCCATCTTGATGTCAGGCAACGCATTCAATATATTTTATGTATCATAGTTAAGTGATTAATTTTGGAACAAAAGGTTTTATAGAAATTTTAAAACATCTGAAAAAGAAGTTTAGGTTTTATCACCTTTTTTTTCCTCATGAATTCTGAAAGCTTCCTTTATCCTGTTGTCCTGGAAGATACCTGTATTTCCTTTGTATCATATTCAACCAACGTCACTATGAAATTAATTGGACCACCCATGTCTATAAAATTGCTTTAAAGAATAAATTATACTGTTTTTTTTTTTAAATTCAGTTTGAGAAGCAAATTGACAGGCAATATTTCATATCTAAGTCTTCAGAAACCTGACTCTGATTGTGAATTATAGATATGCCTCTTTTCTTATGAAAAACCCAGATGAAACACATGGTGAATTTAGAGTGGGTGTAAAGTGTATTGCTCTAATATTACCATTGGATGTGTTTGCAGAGCTGGTGGACATTGTTTGTTGAGAAGTATGATTGCTGTTACAATTAGAAACTGAAGACCCAAATTAAAGCCCAATTGTGCTCTCAATACTTCCTACTGCTTTACTTTTTTTCCTGGATATCTGTGTATTTTCAAGTCTTACCCTATTAAAGGAGAACTATAATCAATGTGTTATGCTGTCTGGGATCTCTTGTTCTAAACTCAGGAAATAATTATTTTTGTTCGGATTTTTCTAGAAGTCTTATCAACAATATCTGTAAGATTATTTTACAGAGCAAATTTTGTAGCTAGAATCAAATCCTATTCACTAGCAAATCAAGAAAACAATTATAGTAGAGCAAGAAGCTTATTCTGGCCCAAGCACTTCCTCTTCTTGAGGGCTTTTCCCATCTCGGTTCCCCTGAGTTCTGAAAAGCTTGTCAGCATCATTGTCATGAATCCTGTTTTGCATGGTCCAGATCACCTCTTCAGCACTGAGGACTTATTCAAATCAATCTCTGCTGAAAAGAGCCACCTTGTCCAAGGCTACACCCTTTCCCAGGGCAGCCTGCATCTAATGACTGGTTGGTGTGGACATATGAATGCCGGACGTTTCCCCTGAACTTGGGGTAATTCAGAAGGGCCATCGCAGATTTTGAGCTCCCTGGGAGGTCAGCCAACACCTCGTTGGGACTGCTTTGCAGTGCAGTTTCTTCCTTTACTTAGTCTTGCTTCCTTCCATTCCCCTTCCAGATATCTATCCTGAGAGAGCTCCCTTAGAACTTTCTGCATGGCTCCATGGAGAATCCACCCTGTGACAGTTGGTGCTAGGAGGGGCAGAAAGCAGATGCGATAATGGAATTTGGGGGGCACTGGGGTGGCTCAGTCAGTTAAGTGTTTGCCTTCAGCTCAGGTCATGATCTCGGGGTCCTGGGATTGAGCCTCACTTTGGGCTCTCTGCTCAGTGGGGAGTCTGCTTCTCCCTCTCCTGCTGCCACTCTCCCTTCTTGTGCACGCGAGTGCGCTTGCTCTCTCGCTCTCTCTCTCTGTCAAATAAATATGGAGCTAGATCCCCTGCTTCCTAGCTGGCAATGAGGACCCCATCTCTGGCCGTAGATGCAGCACAGTCACAAGACAGGATTACAGTTGTTGACATTTTCAGATGATGGACTGGGATGGTATACCAGTGTGAGGAAGGGCACCAGGGTGCAGTGTATGAGGCATTGAGAAATGTGAGAAAGTAGTAATTATAAAGACAATAGTATTGGATGGCTATTGCTGGAAGCAATAAATACTTTTAAAAGAGACAATGAAAAATCAAGGATGATGAATTAAAGGCTAACTGTGAAAACAAATGGGCTTCCCCCCACCCCCGCCCCCACAGCTTTTAGGCACGCCTCAGAGACCCTGCAGGTCAGTTCCAGACCACCACCATAAAGTGAACAGTGCAATAAAGTGAGTCGAATGAATTTTTTGGTTTCCCATTTCATATAAGAGTTATGTTCAACTATACCATAGTCTATTTTTTTTTTTTAAGATTTTATTTATTTTTTGACAGAGAGAGACACAGCGAGAGAGGGAACACAAGCAGGGGGAGTGGGAGAGGGAGAAGCAGGCTTCCCGCAGAGCAGGGAGCCCGATGTGGGGCTCGATCCCAGGACCCTGGGATCATGACCTGAGCCGAAGGCAGACGCTTAACGACTGAGCCACCCAGGCACCCCTATACCATAGTCTATTAAGGATGCTATAGCATTGTGTCTACAAAAACAGTGTACATACCTTAATTTAAAAATACTTTATTGCTGGGGCACCAGGGTGGTTCAGTCGTTAAGCGTCTGGCTTCGGCTCTGGTCGTGATCCCAGGATCCTGGAATCGAGCCCCGCATCAGGCTCCCTGCTCTGCGGGAAGCCTGCTTCTCCCTCTCCTGCTCCCCCTGCTTGTGTTCCCTCTCTGGCTGTGTCTCTCTGTTAAATGAATAAATAAAATCTTAAATAAAAATGCTTCATTGCTAAAAAATGCTAACCATCCTCTTTCAGAGAATTATAATCTTTTAGCTAGTGAAGTGTCTTGCCCTGATGTTGATGCCTGCTGACTGACCGGCTTGCTCAAGGTTGGCGTGGCTGCAGCAATTTCTTAAAATAAGACAATTTTGCCACATTGATTGATTCTTCCTTTCATGGTTGATGTCTCTGTAGCATGTGATGCTGTTTGATAGCATTTTACCCACTTCTTTCAAAACTGGAGTCCATCCTCTCAAGCCCTGCCCCTGCTTTAACTGAGTAGATGTAATATTCTAAATCCTTTGTTGTCATTTCAACCATCTTCACAGCATCTTCACCAGGACTAGTTTCCATTTCCAGAAACCACTTTCTTTGCTGATCCATAAGAAGCAACTCCTCATCTGTTCAAGTTTGGTCAGGAGATTGCAGCCATGCAGCCCCAGCTCCAGGCTCCACTTCTAGTTCTCTTGCTGTGTCCACCACATCTGCAGTTACTTCCTCCACTGAAGTCTCCAACCCCACGAAATCATCCATGAGGGTCAGAACTAACTTCTTCCACATCCCTTTTCATGTTGATATTTTGACCACTTCCCATGAATCATGAATGTTCTTAATAGCATTTAGAATGGCGAATCCTTTCCAGAAGGTGTTCCATTTACTTTGTGCAAATTCATCAGAGGATCACTATCTATTGCAGCTATAGCTTAAGAAATATAGTTGTTTAAATAATACGACTTTCAAGTCTAAATGACTCCTTGATCCAGGTCTGCAGGATGGATGTTGTGTGATGCATGAAAATAACATTAACCTCTTTGTATATTCATTCCATTAGAGCTCTTGGGTGACCCGGTGCATTGTCAATGAGCAGTAACATTTTGAAATCTTTTTTTCTAAGCAAGTAGGTCTCAACAGTGAGCTTAAAATATTTAGTAAACCATGTTGTAAACAGATGTGCTATCATCTAAGCTTTGTTCCATTTATAGAGCACAGGCAGAGCAGGTTTAACATAATTCTTAAGGGCCCTAGGACTTCTGGAATGGTGAATGAGCCCTGGCCTCAACCTAAAGCCACCAGCTGCATTAGCCCCTAGCAAGAGAATCAGTCGGTGCTGTGAAGCTCTGAAGCCAGCCATTGACTTTCCTCTAGCTATGGAAGTCCTAGATGGCATCTTTTTCCAGATCACCATAACAAATATATAATAATGAAAAAGTTAGAAATACCGTGAAAATTACTAAAATGTGACACAGAGATATGAAGTGAGCAAACACTGTTGAAAAAATGGTGCCAATAGATGTGTTCAATGCAAGGTTGCCACAAACCAATTTCTAAAAAACACAATACCTGCAAATTGCAAGAAAGTGAAGCACAATTAAGATGGTTATGCTTGTATTAAGAGGCTCTCTTCTGCAGTAGAAGGGTAGAAATAGCTGAGGACCAGGCCCATGATGTAATCTGAAGACTAGCAGAGTTCAAGAACATTAAATTGTCAACCTAGCCAAGTCTGTTCCCCGTAAAGTCAGGGTCCTGATTAGGAAAAAATGGGACCCTGAGAGAGGACATCTAGATTGATACATTCAGATCTCGATGCCCCAGGTTCCCTCAAGCCCTCTGAACTTAAGAAGAGGCCCATTCCTTAAGAACCAGTGCTTTCCTCTGACTTGAAGATGATGAAGAGGCGTGTGCCCTCAATACCACATGGATGGTCCCTCAGGGTCTATCCTGAACATCCCTCCTAGCCATGAGATCAATAATTAAGGTTACAATAAAAATGAACAGGGAAACATCGGGCCTGCTAAGAAAGAAAAGTAATACACTCTGAAGGTTCTGCAGAACCCAGCCATCATGTACCTCAGCAGCTGAGAGAGTGTCTATGGAACTTAATTCTAAGAGTGCTAGAATAAGGGATAGAAGTAAAACATAAAGTAGGATCAAGTAGTGTTTACTATTATAGAAGTACTATTCTGGGATACAAGTTTTAACACCCTGGCAAGAACTCCAGGAGAAGGTGTTGATGCACTGCTAAAAAGGCTCTTAAAAGCTTGAAGAAAGTGACAACCCTTCTCAAGTGGAGTGGCAAGTCACACACACACATATGCACACACTAGCACATTACTCAGTTATAAAAAAGAAGGAAATCTTGGGGCTCCTGGGTAGCTCAGTCAGTTGAGCGTCTGACTCTTGGTTTCAGCCTCAGGTCGTGATCTCAGGGTTGTCGGATCAAGCCCCATGTCGGGCTCCATGCTCAGTGAGGAGTCTGCTTGGAATTCTCTTTCTCTCCCTCTCCCTCTGCCCCTTCCCCACTTGTGCGTGCCCTCTCTCTCTCTCAAATAAATCTTTTTTTAAAAGGATTTATTTATTTGAGATGAGCATGAGCAGGGGCAGAGGGAGAGGGAGAAGCAGACTCCCTGCTGAGTAGGGAGCCTAACATGGGACTCCATCCCAGGACCCTGGGATCATGACTTGAGCTGAAGGCAGACATTTAACTGACTGAGCTATCCAGGTGCCCCTAAAATAAATAAATCTTAAAAAAAAAAAAGAAGAAGAAATCTTGCCATTTGCAACAACATGGATGGATCTAAAGGGTATTATGCTAAGTGAAATGTTAGAGAAAGACAAAAACTGTATGATTTCACTTGTATGTGGAATCTAAAAACAAAACAAAACAGAAACAGACTTACAAACGAGGAAAACAAACTGGTGGTTGCCAAAGGGAAGTGGGTAAAAGGATGGTGAAATAGGTGAAGGGGATTAGGAAGTACAAACTTCTAGTTATAAAACAAATAATTCACGTGGATATAAAGCACAGTGTAGGGAATATAATCAATAATATTGTAATAACTTTGTAAGGTGACAGATGATAACTACATTTATTGTAGTGAGGATTTCATAATATATACAAATGTTGAATTGGTATGTTGTACACTTGAAACTAATATAATATTGTATGTAAACTGTACTTCAATTAAAAATATATGTATTGTTGGGGTGTTTGGCTGGCTCAGTTGGTAGAGCATGATCTCTTGATCTCGGGGTTGTAAGTTGGAGCCCAACATTGGGTGAAGAGATTACTTAAAAATAAAATCTTAGGGGCCCCTGGGTGGCTCAGTTGGTTGAACGTCTGCCTTCAGCTCAGGTCATGATCCTGGGGTCCTGGGATGGAGCCCTAAGTCGCCGGGCGGGGGGGGGGTCCTTGCTCAGCGGGGAGTCTACTTCTCCCTCTCCCTCTACCTGCCACTCCCCCTGCTTGTGCGCTGTGTGTCTGTGTCAAATAAATAAAATCTTTAATAAATAAATAAATAAAATCTTAAAAAATATATATGTATTGAAAGTAGTTATGATATAATAAAAGAAAAAAAAAGAAAATAGTTGTGAGAGGAAATGCTCCCTGTGGGCAGAGCTTCAGGTGCTGTACCTGGTTATTTACTCTGTGTGGCAAGAGAAGTAGCCTAAGATTAGAATATTTACAGTTTCATGGGTAGTGGTGAGTGTTTTGGTCAGGGGCCTAAAATAGAAATGTTGTGGGCGCCTGGGTGGCTCAGTTGGTTAAGCGACTGCCTTCGGCTCAGGTCATGATCCTGGAGTCCCAGGATCGAGTCCCGCATCGGGCTCTCTGCTTAGCGGGGAGTCTGCTTCTCCCTCTGACCCTCCCCCCTCTCATGTGCTCTCTCTCTCTCATTCTCTCTCTCAAATAAATAAATAAAATCTTTAAAAAAAAATAAAATAGAAATGTTGTATACTGGGGACTAAGAAGTCTGGGGTAAAGCATGTGAATGGCTTAAGATAACATGCAGAGTGTGAAAATCTTTGTATCACATGGTAGTGCCCATCAGAAAGCATCCATCACAGAGGAAGCATTAAACAACCAGGTAGCTAAATGACTCGGGCAGATGTCAGTCAGCTTCTGTCATCAGCCACCCTAATGCTAGCACAATAAATCCATGAAGGAGGAGCCACAATGGCTGGGATGGAGGCTGTGCATGGCCACACCAACCAAGGCTGATCTAAATACTGATGCTGCCAGGTGTCCCACATGCGACCAACAGAGCTCATTGCTGAGCCACTGATATGGCACCCTTCTTCAAGGAGACCTTTGTGGCAGGTTGACTATATTAGGCCCCTTCCATCCTAGAAGGGCCAGGGATTTGTTCTAATAGGAACAGACAGGGCGCCTGGGTGGCTCAGTTGGTTAAGCAACTGCCTTCGGCTCAGGTCATGATCCTGGAGTCCCTGGATCGAGTCCCGCATCGGGCTCCCTGCTCGGCAGGGAGCCTGCTTCTCCCTCTGACCCTCCCCCCTCTCATGTGCTCTCGCTCTCTCATTCTCTCTGTCTCAAATAAATAAATAAAAAATCTTTAAAAAAAAAAAAAGGAACAGACATGTATTCTAGGTATGGATTTGCCTTTCTTACCTACAAGGCCTCCAACAACATCAATACCTAAGGGCTTACAGAATGTTTGATCCACAAACATGATTGCATCAAACCAAAGGACCCACTTCACAACAAAGAATTTAGCAGTGGTACATGACCATGGGATCCAATGGTTCTATCACATCCCCTAGATGCCACCAACGCGATAGAATGATAGCCTGTTGAAGGTACGGCCAAGATACCAGCTTCCATACAATACACTGAGGTCGGGGTGCTAACTTCCAGGATGCAGTATACACGTTAAGTCAATAAACTTCATATGGTGCTGGGTCCATAACATGTAGAATACATGGTTCCAGGAACCAAGAAGTGGAAGTAGGATAGGACATAATTTTTTTTTTAAAGATTTTATTTATTTAATTGACAGAGAGACACATACACAGCGAGAGAGGGAACACAAGCAGGGGGAGTTGGAGAGGGAGAAGCAGGCTCCCCGCCGAGCAGGGAGCCCGATGCGGGACTCGATCCCAGGACCCTGGGATCATGACCTGAGCCCAAGGCAGACGCTTAACCAACTGAGGCACCCAGGCGCCCCTGGATAAGACATAATTAACATCAAACCCGCTTGGGGAATTCGTGCTTCTTATCCCTGTAACACTGTGTTTTGCAGATTTAGATGGTACAGTTCCTTAGGGGAAACTTCTTCACCAGGGGACATAATAAGAATCCTACTGAACTTTAAGCTATGGCTGTCATCATTCAAGTACCTTCCAGTTCTGCACAGGTGTTGATTCTAAGAACACCCCCTGGGTAAACTTGCTCTATGGGTTTGCTCCTTTGACAGAGAGAGAGAACAAGTAGGCAGAGAGGCAGGCAGAGGGAGAGGGAGAAGCAGGCTCCCCGCTGAGCAGGGAGCCCGACGCGGGGCTCGATCCCAGGATCCCGGGATCATGACCTGAGCCAAAGGCAGACGCTCAATGACTGAGCCACCCAGGTGCTCCTGTGGGTTTGCTTCTTATAGAATCCGACTCATAGAAATTATCTTTATAGCACTTTACTTTTTGTGGCAGTTGTTAAGTTATACCCTGATCTTTCCATTAATAAACCTACCTGTGATTATTTAACAGGAACTTCATGAGTTTTTATGTTCTGTAGGGTGTTACTGTCAT